GATGAGGGAGGACCATCACCGAGGCAGATAAAGGGGAGCACCAGTAGGAGCAGAGGACTATTAGGAGAAGAAGAAACAGAAGGATTAGGAGAAGGAAGAGGGCGGGACAGGGGCGCTATGGGACATCAGCGGTGAGCAGGAATGGCGTATTGTATGGGGCTGCCCGAAAACTCCTCCTCCTCCTCCTCCTCCTCCTCCTCCTCCTCCTCCCTCCTCCTCCCTCCCTCCTTCCTCATCCCACCTCTCTCCACCCTCCTCCTCCTCCTCCTCCTCCTCCTCCTCCTCCTCCTCCTCCTCCTCCTCCTCCTCCTCCGCCTCCCCGATTTGGTGGTGCTTTTCCCGGCTAAGATCAAGGAAGAACGGCCTCCGACCCGCTGCTCCCGCCATCCTTGGTCGTGTTCTCGCTGCCGTTGGGGTAGAACTCCAGCAGCATCTCCCTGATGCCGGCGGCGGAAAAGAGTCTGCTGCACCTGGCTCGCGACCAGGGCGAGGTGGAAGGACCCTCCCCCTTCCCCCTCCTCCTCCTCCTCCTCCTCCTCCTCCTCCTCCTCCTCCTCCGCCTCCTCCTCCACCCTTCCTGCCCCTCCTTGCATCGCCATCCTCCTCCCGCCTCCTTCCTCCGCGCCCCGCAGCTTCGCGAAGCCTCCGTCCGCACGCCTGGCACACAACTATTTCGGGGTGGTGCGCCGCCCAGCCGTCCGAGTGGGTCGTCCTCGCCCCCCCCCCCAGGGGGTGCCACTCGGTCTCTGGCCGTGCACCAGGGCCCCGGGGGGAGGAGGAGGAAAGGGCAGGGGGAGGAGGAGGAGGAGGAGGAGGAGGAGGAGGAGGAGGAGGAGGAGGACGAGGAGGAGGAGGAGGGGAAGGGGGGGGAGGAGGGGAAGGGAGGAGAGAGAAGAGAGAGAGAGAGAGAGAGAAACAAAGCTGAGTGCAGAGCACATGAGCCCAAATGCCGTGGCCTCACAAGGCGTCGCAATAACGTTTCACGGCTGCGCGCCACGCTGTGGCAGAAATTGCGCTATTATGCCAAAGCTGCGGCAGGGCCTCCTCACCCCCCGCGGCCGGGACAACGTGGGCAAAGACTGGTTCAATCCAAATTGTTCGGGGGCACCCCCGCTTTCGCTTGAAGCTCCGTGCTGCTAGCTTGCATGAGAAAGGGCGTAGGACAATGCATCGGATCGGGTCATCAGCTGGCTTCGGGTCAATATGCCCCAGGAGCACCAGCTGACGATTCAGCAGAGTATTGCTCAGTGGGGCAGCGCCTGCTTGCTGCAAAACACCCAGGTGCGTTACGTGGCTAGTGTATGAATGAGGTATGCGATGTATCTGCCTCAGACATCTCACGTGGAATGCATCGAGCTTCTTCGTCTCCGCCTGGTTCAAGACGGCCGTGTGCAGACAGTACGGCATTTTACTGAGAATGCAAGCATTGAAGATCTCAAGCTTCCTTCACTGCGTCAGCGTGGAATGGCCCCATACTCACTTCAAATTGTCGAATCCTTCCCGCGCGGCACCGAGACGGCGGGAGAGTTCAGGGCCAATCTTCCCGTCGCTCGAAATCAGGCTGCCTAGATATTGAATGCTCTTTTTCTGCGGCACCCAGGTGCCGTCTGTTCTCGGGATATGCGCATCGCATCCAACGGCTAGAGCTCCCAACTTGCGCCAAATCATCTGCAGCCCGTACTGCGATCCGTTTTTTTTTCGATGCTGCGCATGTATGCCGTCGCTGTATCGGACTCGCCAGACACGAGCAGTGTGTCGTCGGCGTAGACCAACTCGTGTAGCGCCTGGGAGAGGTCCAGCAGTTGCCCGACCTCCTCCTATGCGTCTTGCAACAGCACAGTCATCACGATCGCGAAGAGGAACGGCGACAGCGGGCACCCCTGGCTGATGCCGAATTCCTGCGCCCTCGGCGCCGAGGTGGAACTGGCATCACGGACGCAGAAGCTTCGCTCCACGGAGATCGCCCGCACCACCTCCACGAACTTCGCCGGCACGCCAAAGCTGACTAGAGCTGATGCTAGAGACTCTGGGGGGACGCTGTCGAAGGCTTTCGCCCAATCGAGGGGCAACAATACGACCTGCCCGCCCTTCTCGGCACAAGTTCTCTCAATAATTCGCCGGCCAGAAACTAGCATCCGCCGCTGTTCCGTGCTTGGACTTGAAACCGAACTGAGTGCGCCATATTCGGCTCTTAGCCCCGCCCGCTTTCAGGCGACCAAGTAAGACAGCAGCGAAAATGATGTAGCCAACGGCCGTCAAGGAGATGGGCCGGTAGTTTTCGCACTGCGCCACGTCCCCCTTCTTGAAAATTGTTGCGACCAGCGCCTCGTGCCACTCTGCTGGAACTGCCGCGTCAGTCCAGCATGTGTTGCACAGCTCGACAGCCCACCTGTAGGCAGGCGTCCCAGCACGGCAGATTGTCTTCCAAAACTCAGGCGGGAGATCGTCGTTGCCAGACGCTCTACCCCATTTTATCCTAGCAGCCGCACCAACGACTTCGCCTTCGGTGATAGGACCACATGGCACAGCCAGCTCGTCGCCGAAGGAGCCCCCGTTCGGCGCTGCGCTTGCCGGCCGCACTGCCCAGTGGACTCTGCAAAGGTACTCTGCCATTGTGTCGGCGCGCTGGTCGGAGCCAACAAGACGACCTTCCATGTCGGCTAACCGGCCCTGCCGGGCTTGCGTTCCTTTCCTCGAGGCGCGGATCGGCGCCCAGTCTCCGGAGGCGAGCTGGCTCTCTAACCAATCCGACTGGTCTTCCCGGACAGAGTCTCGCACAGCCCAGTGCAGGCGCCGCTCTTCCTGCACCGTCCCGTGCGCCCTCGCTGAGTCTCTCTGGTCTATCTGCTGGAGTGTCCTGTCAGATATCCACGGTCGCCGCGGTCTCCTCGCGAGGGTCGGGAGAACGTCTCGGGCAACACAGCGAAAGGCATCTCATACTCGACGCAAGTTGCTGGACGCTTGCGCCCCCCTGCTCGGGCCCGCTGGAGCTCATGTGGTTACAGAAAGCGTCGGAGAAAGCGCAGGCAACCATGCCGTCCCGAAGCGCACCAAGCTGTCGTCGAGGCTCGTGGGAGCCGCTGTCTTCGCGAGGGACGTCCACGTCCAGGGGTGCAGTCACGAGAAAGTAATGCGACGCTCTGTACTCTCTCCAAGCACTGGGGCCACTCCATGGACACGATCGCCAAATCCAGCTGCCCGTAGTTGTGGTATATTGGAGGGTCCGCCGGCGAGCGCCCGATATCTTAATAGGTAGTCTGGCGCTCCGGGGGCTCGTCGAGAACTGTGTTACCGACAGCTAGCTTGCAGAAGGTGCAAAGTTCGAGCGGGAGTGTTATATTTGATTCTGGGTTGTGCTGCGCGTGCGGGTTCCCGGAAATGAACGGCCCCAGCACGTCCTGGGAAGCGCCTGCGTATTCTGGCATGAAAAACACATAATAACAGCACCGGTCCGTGAGCGGAATGGCTGCCGAGGAAGCCCGCCAACTCGGAGAAGAAAGCCTGCCAGTCGACGAATGGCTTCCCGCTGTGCGGGGCGTAGGCACTGCAGATAACGACTTTGCCCCCGCGGACCCGCAGTTTGACGGATGCCATTCTCGAAGAGGCTTGTCTGAAACCAATGATGCTGCGACGCGACAGCGGAGAGATCAGGAATCGAATTCCTGCCGTTGCTTCTGGTTCGTCCTCTGCCGTGCCAGACGAGACAAGCAGGAAACCCCCGTCTGTGATCTCATACTCGAACTTGCCCTTGTGCGTTTCCTCTGCTGTATGTGCCGCTGGAGCTCTACAACCTTTGTCTCTGTAAGCCCTGCCACATTCCAAATTCCAACTTTGAGCTCCCGTCCAGAGACGGCGAGCCGGCCGCCCCGAAAAAGGTCTGCTTCATACGACCTTATTGTGCTTGGTGTAGATTTGGTACCAAAACTTGAGCATGCAGCGTGGACAACTATAGATGCTCTGGGTGAAACTGTGGGTGAAACTGTGCTCATGTGCTGTGTTTCCTAGTGCCCTTTGGCACGGCCCTTCTGCCCCTTAGAACCCTTCATGCCCTGACCGACCCGGGAGGAGGAGGAGGAGGAGGAGGAGGAGGAGGAGGAGGAGGAGGAAAAGCATCACACGTTCTTATAGCTACCTATGGCCATCAAAAACCATAAGAACATAACAGGTTCTTACGGCTATCTGTGGCCATAAGAACGTGTGATGCCCTGGGGGGACTGAATGCCGCCCCTTCTCCTGGAGGAGCAGCTCTCCTGTGGAGAAGCGCGGCCTTCTCGACCAGAGGCCCCTCTTGTGGGATTTCTGTCCGGGGGAGCGGCTGATTGCCGTGCCTCCCTTCCTGCCTCCTTGGTCGCGCAAGTCTCCGATGATCCCCCCTCAGCCTCCCCGGCTGGGGCCTCTCTCCCTGCTAGTCGCGACTGGGGGGGTTCTCCACCCATCTCCACTGGGACGCACAGAGACATAGTAGTACTATATGTCCTTCCTGGAGGCGCGCGTCGCGAGCGCCTGCCCACGGAATCCCACCTCAGCCCTTCAGGGGTGAGGTAAGCTGGCGCGCTGCCTCTTCCAACCCCCGTCTTCTCTTTCGGGTCGGACTCCACCTCCTTATCGACAAGCACACTCTCCTGCAGCCAGGCGGTGGCAAATCAGCAGTCATGATGCGAAAACCCCCCACCATCCTTGCGAAAACAAATTCAATTTTAATTTTACGGCCGAATTTTGGACCATGAGCGGGGGGGCGGCGCGATCAGTTTACGTTGTTTTTTGACAGGCCTGATGGGGTACCCTCATATTGTCCGGTGTGCGCAGGCACACCACACCTGTCAAAAACCACTGCAGATCGACTGCGGGTGCACATGCCATACACCATCACTGCCACCCCGTCGAAATGTTGCACTGGCTGTTCACAGGGATGGTGGGGGGTGGCGACGACGTGTTTCCCGATGTGTGCTGTCGCGTGCACCGGCACACCCAGCGCAGGTGGAGCACGCGCCACTCTTGACGCATGCAGAGCGAGTGGCACGTCTGGCGCACCAGGCGCGCCTGGTACCCGGTGCACATGGCGCACCCGGTGCGCATGGCGCGCGCGCGGCACGCGTGGCGACACTCGCCAGCGCTGCGCACCTGCCGTCTGCATTGGTTCCCGGTGGCTGTCCATCCACTGGGGACCGCTGAATACGCTGAGACCCGGGTGCTATGCCTATGATGGGAGGGCGGGTGGGATTGAGCGGCACGGCCTGCGGCTGGCGGATCGCTTGATCTCTGCCCCTCATCGGTCAGTGAACACCCCCTCCCACGCACGCCCAGCGACAAGCCAGGGACAGTGCCGATACCACCTCCCACCACCCCTGTCAAGGAGAAGCGTACAACATTCACCGTGCGGCCAATTTTTGTACCATGTGCGGGGAGGGGGCACGATCAGTCTACACTACTTCTGACGGGGGCTAGGCGGCTAGGGGGGGACATCATAGTG